ATAGATGGTGCAAGCTTGATAGATGTGGGAAGCTAAAACCATTCAAGTCGAAAACGTTGGAACCCATCCGGATATTTAGAAGTAACCTGTGAACTTTTCTCTGCTCACCAGGGCATGGCGTACATCCACGACAGCGAGATCCACTCACACGGCTCCCTGAAGTCCTCTAACTGCGTGGTGGACAGCCGCTTCGTGCTGAAGGTCACCGACTTCGGCCTGCACTCTCTCCGGGAGGAGGACTCGGCTAGGGACAGGGACTCGCACGCCTTTTACGCAAGTAATGTCCACTGTCACACATTCTAAAGCTCACGAACACCAACCGACCAAGGTTGGCTGGAGCTCCTGTCACACATTCAGAACCTTTCCCCGAACACCAGCCGACCAAGGTTGGCTGAAGCCCCTGTCACACATTCAGAACCTTCCCCCGAACACCAGCCGACCAAGGTTGGCTGAAGCCCCTGTCACACATTCAGAACCTTCCCCCAAACACCAGCCGACCAAGGTTGGCTTCAAAAAAGCCCGTCACACATTCAGAACCTTCAAACCCCAGAACACTTTCGAACATTTTAAAACATTTTAAAACGGCGGACTCGGCCGAACAGTAGCCGACCTGGCCGAACACCAGCCGACCATGCTTCTGACCTTCTCCTAACCATGGCCATGGTCGGGGGACGTCGGCTAATGGTCGTGAGGCTTTATTCGGATATGTGTAGCAGGGGCTTAAAATACTATACTTCAGGAATATAACTCCTGGGTAGCTATCGTGATCTTATTAGTCACGATTCTGAACCCTCAGCCCAGCCAGAGGAGAATGAATAGGATATTATAGGTGTCCTTCATGCGTTTAAGATGAGTAGTAATTTCAGTAGCTTCGGCTAGGGACGTCCCTCGGATAGGACGTTAAATGGAGGTCCCGTGTTTGGGGAGAGCCACACCCCACGCACGTTAAAGAACCCACCACACCTTTCGAAAAAGAGTAGGGGCATGCCCCGGTGTGCGATGGTACAAACACTACTGTATGGAGTTGGTGATTCACTTCAAATCACCCGAATGGAGGCCTGGCGAACCTCTGTTCCGTATCAGCCACATGGTGATTACATCACCACACATGGTGATTACATCATCACCCGGACGGAGGCGTGGCGAACCCCGTCTTGTATTAAGCTAACGAAAGGGTATGCCACCTCGTAAGGGGCGGTATAACCCCGACCAATACGGTCGACCGATGATGATGATGATGAGTAATTTCATGCTATGAAATTCTTTTCAACCCATACAAAATTGGCATAATCGTAAAATTCCGCACACGAATGTTGCTTCAGGGTAACATCTATGATCTTTACGAACGCCTCTGATGCACGCTGAGTTTGCCTTGACCTTGGGCCATGTTGATTTTAGTATATGGATGACATCCTCTGGGAACCCCAAAACTGATGCGAGTGTGCGAATGAAAAAAAAAGGTTTGGCAAAAAAATTGCTCTCATTATCAAATATGATTTACAGTATGGTTGAAAACGCCGAACACCAGCCGACTTTTTTCCTATCTACTCCTAACCATGGTTGTAGGGCGTTCGGCTAGTGTTCGGGTGGCCAAATTCGTTAATGTGTAACAGGGGCTAAATACATACAGATCATTTCTAATTTCTAACCTCTTATACTATTTTTTACGTATTTAATATCACAGAGAAGCGAGGAGAAGAAGTCGAAGTTAGTCGACTATATATATATAATCCTGGTGATATCTTGATGCATGTGTATACAAGCCATTCTTTTGCTGTGACCTGTACTTAACTTACTTTATTTGTATGTCTGTAGAGTTTTTGTATTATTTTAATGATGTATTGTACATGTTTTATATGGGTTTTTACCTGAAATAAAGAAGGAATGAATGAAATGAATTAACACATTAGTGGGTATACTAGATGTACACTAAAGGTCCTCATTGATTAATTGATTGATTGATTGATTGATTCACTCACTCACTCACTCACTCATCCATCCATCCATGCATTCACTCACTCACTCATTCATTCACTCATTCACTATCGGCACTGTTGCACACCGTGTTACGAAGGTAAGCTGTGGACGGCTCCTGAGTTGTTGCGGATGGAGGTGCATGTACCGGGCGGCACACAGAGGGGAGACGTGTACAGCTTCGGTATCATCCTGCAGGAGATCTGCGTCAGGAACGGGACGTTCTACGTGGAGACTGAGGAGGAGGATCTAAGTCCGAAAGGTACGTGTACGTGCGTGTGTCGTCATTTTTTTTTTATTCGTTCACATAGAAAAAGGTACAAGACATGGTGGTGTCGCACTCAAGTGGAAAGCACTTATGTTTACGGCACCACTAAATAAATACATATAATAAAGAAAAAACAAACGCAACTTTAGGACAGGCAAAATAGTAAATACAGGAAATTCAAAAGCGCAAGTCACAATGATAAATGATGGCAAAGAGAGGACACAATACATATATAACAAAGGGGGAAATTGAAATCTTTTAAAAACGTTCTGATGTGGTGATAAAGTTTTGGGTAAGTGATAATATACATTGGAGTGTGTCGTCATTGTTGTCACCTTAGGCCATACTGCCTTAAGTTTATGGATGACGTCGTCTGAAGACCCCGAAACTAGTGCGCGCGGGTATATTACGGGGTAAATAAAAAATTCTAGCCAAAAAATGCTGCTAAACCACAGGAATACAAAGCTGGGATTGTGAATTTGTGGTAGTGCATAGGGACATTTAGGACAAGCCGACACATGCTGGCCTTTTGCGACATTTATGAGTCGACAATGTACTGAGTTCCGGAGTTCCGTGGAGCTTCGGCAGCCTGTGTGCCATCCTCCGTATACGCAGTTACCACCGGCTTCCTATTGTCGCTAGCTGCCATAGACTACAGAGGATGGCACCCTGCCAGAGCCTCGTTGGAGGTAATTTTTTTAGAACAGACGAAAATCAAATGGGGCTAAATGCAGTACGTTAGCTACGAAGTAATAGGAAAACTATGCTATGTTTTATTTTTATCCATGATTTAACGTTTCTTGTCTGTTCTTGTAACATTTGTTGACAAATTTACAGTTTTTAATTACATCGTGGTTAGCTGATGAAGGCATTATATATAAGAACATGTCATCATTTATTAGATGTACATATTTCTGTTCCAACCGTATCTCATTAAAAAAACGTATTGCGTAAGGATACCGAAATCCCTATAAAAATACATCCTCGCTTCTAATGACGTGACGTGTTGTTTAGAGTTAAGACTTTAGATCCAACACAAAACGTTCTCTCACCTAGAGCTTTCGACCAGTCATTCTGGTCTTCCTCAGTAGACTGACGGATTGTCATGTGGCTTCTTTGAAGTGTGACGTCAACACTGGGTCAAAGGTATCTGGTAGATGATGTGTTGACGACACACTTCAAAGAAGCCACGTGACAAGCCTCACTGAGTCAGTCTACCTAGGAAGACGAGAGTGGCTGGTCGAAAGCTCTAGGTGAGAAAACGTTTTGTGTTGGATCTAAAGTTTTAACTCTAAACATGTAACTACCAACACAGATGAACTTTGATGATAGTATGTGACGTGTTTTGTGCCCTCTGTTGTGCAGACATCATCATGAAGCTGAAGAAGGAGTACTTCCGCCCGACCATCACCGACAACATCCCGGTGAACGTGCGGACGTTGATGGAGCGGTGCTGGGGAGAGGACCCGGCGGACAGACCGGACTTCCACACCCTCAAACTATACGTCAAGAGCCTCAACAAGTGAATAGGAACTCAGTCTGTCAGTTAGGCCAATGTTGATTTGATTATATGGATGACACCCGCGCGCATAAATTTTCGGCCATTTCCAAAAAGAAATAAGTTTTTAACCATACTGTAAATCGTACAAAGCAGTTGCATAATGAGCAAAAATATACCGTACGTTGCAAAAAAATATTCAAAAATATACCAATGTCGTAGAATGCCAAAATCAAACGAAAAAAGACGAAAATATCAAGAAAGACTAGATTATTCGCCATACCATACTCTGTGTCATTTTTTCAATCTTCATAACCACGTACATGTCATAATAAAAGCACCTTTTTTTGCAAAACTTTTTTTTATTCGCACGCGCGCATCAGTTTTGGGGTTTCCAGAGATGTCATCCATATAATCAAATCAACATGGTCTTAGCCTGAATGCCAGACCCTGGTTCGACAGAATACTCCCTTCGGCTGGGCGTAGCCACAAGTCCCGATCCGAGAGTTAGCACAAGGGAGTCTAATTTATCTCAGAGTCTATCGGGGAGTGGGTGTGTATGGTAAAATTTTCGGAGTCGAGAAGCTAACCTGTATACTGCAACAGTCTGGCACCCCGGCTATCAGTCAGTCTGCACACTGGTACCTATGCCTGTCAAGCCCCGGTCACACATTCAGAACACCTGCCAAGCAAGGTCATATGACATTTGGGAGCAATCTGACCGGAGTTAGCCACGCCTACCTTTCGATACGAATCGAATTTGAGTAAAATTGGAGTCAAATTTGACTATCACCACACCCCCACCTGCTCCAACAGCCGCCAACCATGTCCAGTCATGGCTAAAACTTCCGCCCACATTGGAATAGGTCACGCCTACCTTTCCATACGAATCGAATCGAATTTGAGTTAAATTTGAGTCAAATTTCACTACCACGACCCACATCCTCTCCGCAAATTATTTGCGGAGAGGATGTAGGACTCGGGAGCTATAATAGGTTTGGTAACCAGGCTACAAGTCATGACCAACTGTCTTGACCAACATGAATAGAAGTAATTGTTACCTCTTACCTATGCTTTATAGAAAGGCCAATGTATTTGTAACGACATCATACGCGTGCTATAGTCTTTTTTTCGAGTATGATATTTTTTTTCAGGGGGAATGAAGGCACTAACATCCTGGACAACCTGCTGTCCCGGATGGAACAGTATGCTAACAACCTGGAGGGGCTGGTCCAGGAGAGGACCGAGGCCTTCCTGAACGAGAAGAAAAAGGCGGAGGATCTTCTGTACCAGATTCTACCCAAGTGCGTATGGGCTTAGAATTACACTGAAAAGGCCTACATCAATGTGTATGCGTGAGTACAAACATGCTTAACATACACAGAGAAAAAAACTCCAAATTTTACGTGTATGTAAGAGATGCAGTTGGGAAGACATTTCGGTAGAAAAGTCAAACTATAGTTTTAGTGACTACTAGATATTTGGGAGTTTTCCATAATATAAAACACATTGGGATGGACCAATAGATTTCCTGATTGGCAGAAGGAAAACACAGTGTTTTTCTTGTTGTTCTTCTTCTTGTTGTCCAAACACATAAGGTCAATGGCCTGGACCAGACGTCTGTCACCATGGTAACTGGTGTGGTAGCGGACACCCTGTGGTGTTGGGTTATATTATAAAGTTAGAGGGGATGGTCACCCGAAATGTAGTGTATGAATGTGTTTGAGTAAGAATAAACAGAGCAGTAGTTTGTTAGACTAGACCGCATTAAGGTAAACATTTAGAATTTGTTTTGCAAATGTTGCCTTCCTAGTTATTTATCTGCTTGTTTGTTTGTTTGTTTGTTTGTTTGTTTGTTTGTCCATTGCTGCCCAGGTCCGTAGCAGACCAGCTGAAGAGAGGAGAGCCGGTGTCAGCCGAGGCGTTTGACAGCGTCACCATCTACTTCAGCGACATCGTGGGCTTCACTTCCCTGTCTGCCGACAGTACACCCATGGAGGTCAGGGGTCACGGCCACACTACACGCTTGTGGTTGCAGAACACAGTATTAAAGGCATCCAGTGCAGTTTTTAGGGCTTGGAAACCTGATTTTTCAAAGCCAATATTCTCGTCATTTATCTACATACTGAGTTGAAACCACACTATACCAGTGTATACTGACCCTCATGGATAAAAAATTCCCGAAATTCTGACGGGAAATGGTTACGGGAAGGGCCCCGGGCTGATTTGGGGGCACCGCCCAGAAAATAAAGGACTCATTTTGGGGCTTGTTTCTGCAGTTTTAAATGCCCAAAGTATGAAATACTGATTCAAATCGGTGTTAATGTGAAGCAGTATGTCAATATCACAAAGATTGACTTTTAGAATATTTCCAGTTTTGGGCGGCCCCCGGGGGATCTATGACGCGGGTATAGAAAGTAGTGCGGACAAAAGTCATGAATCCTGACTAGAACGACTTACGTGAGAGGTAGCCAGGAGTAAATTGCGCTGTGTGGTATAGCAATGTGTGGGCTTTTAGACCGTATGGGCGCATACGGCGAAAACCGTATTCTGCCACCTTGTGGTAGCAGAACACAGTTTTCGCCCTATGGGGATTCCTATAGTTAAGCACTTTAAAGTAGTGACTCACTTCGACGCGGTAAGAATTATAGTAGGGTACACTAGAGAAACACGTACTGCAAGTAGGTGTCGCTTCTGCTGTGCTAGAGGCTAGAACTTAACTCAAGTTCGCCTCCTCAAAATGCATTCTAGCACCCACTACTACAATTATTCAAACATAACAGTTACAAGTAACATAAAGACGTGTGATATCAAAACCGCACTGTGCCTTCGCGAAACCCGTATTGTGCATAGCACTTCGGCAGAACGTGCGTGTGCTACAATATTGTACTGCCGTATTAAGGATGACAATGTAGTGTGAAATGTACTGCTGTGCTAGAAGCTGTTCCTTTACGTAACATGTGAAAACTGAAAAAAAGTTCGCCTCAAAATACATTCTAGTGCCCACTACTACGACTATTCAAACAGTTACAAGTAACATCAAGACGTGTCATTTTATGTTCACATGGAAGACTAAGAGAGATTTGAAGGAATTTTTTTGGCAGTTATATCTCGTCTGGGTCACACGTACACGTCTCACGTCCGGTAATTGGCTCTTGTTATGACGTATTTTTAACGTTTCCCGCCAGGTGGTGACCTTGCTGAATGACCTCTACACGTGCTTTGACGCTGTGATCGACAATTTCGACGTCTACAAGGTAAAAAATTCGATTGTTATCGTCAAATTGGTGATTCTCAACTGCAACGATGAAGCATGATCGAGCAGAAGAAATAGATAATTGCTGCAAGTCCAGACATTTCCCAGCACGGCTTCCTAATACAGGAAAGTTATTTATAAGTAATCCACGCATTTCATGTCCATCTATGAGTTGAGCTACTATGAAAATGTATCGTTCTCTTGATCTTGCTCTCAAGCACAGCCGATGCAGAATAAAATTTTTTTCGTACTTTTTCTTTTCTTTCGAAACCTTGTGCCTTTTATTTCTTCTTTAAACCTAGTTCAGTAGCGAAGAAGGTAATATTTTTGGTGGCGTTCGTGTCTGCATGTCAAGACGATGACACGATAAGAATGAATGAAGACCTTTATTGTACATTTGTGTTCTACAGAACTAAGTACAGGTCGCATGGGTACAGAACATGAACATAAACATATACATTACATACATATGAACATATAAGAGTGTAAATAAATGTCTAATTTCTATTCTTTTCGGCTTCATCTCGCTTAGTAGTGATTGTATGGATATATGCGGCTGTGAGATTACTTAGAGTAGGTTTATCAAAAGTTAAAAGGAATACAAATTTCTCTTTACTAGTCAAATATCTGAAGTGGGGAAATATACTTAATACATGGCTAAGAAATATGAGGCTATAATAAGATAAGACTCGGGTGGATTTTCTTCATGGGACCTCGAGATAATTAGATTTTGGGGTCTCCTGGCGGCACCTGACATTCCGGTTTTTTATTTATTTATTTTTTTTTTTGTTTCCTGATCTGGACATGCTAGGGTCACGATTTTTGATTGGTAGATAGCTATTGTGCTCAGAAAGTGACGTGGGTTTGGACCCTCTTACATTACTATATTTCCCTTTACGTCCTTCAATGTATACAAAGAAAAATAAAGCAAAATTTCAATTCTTTGTCCAAATCCAGGTTGAAACAATCGGCGACGCCTACATGGTTGTTTCCGGCCTGCCTGTCCGGAACGGAATCTCTCACGTGAGGGAGATAGCCCGGATGTCTCTGGCCTTGCTGCGGGAGGTCCGGAATTTCCGGGTCCGGCACAGGAATAACTGCAGGATGAAGCTACGGATCGGGATCCATACAGGTACGGACCTTTTTTAATGACCTGGACCAGACGTCTGTCGCCATGGTAACTGTAGCTGTAGCAGACACCCTATGGTGTGGGGTTACAATTTGTAGCAGTACAAAGTTGAGAGGCTGGTCTCCATATATTATATATACATGCATATGATTTATTATGAATGTATTTTAGTAAGAATGCACAGAGCAGTAGTTTGTTATACAGAGGTCACATTTCCAAGCCAGGGCCCGGTTGGGCGGTTTGCATAAGCGAAAAATTAACAATTCATAACAAGAATACACAAATATCACTCATGATAAGTTTCTAAAACGTTCTTTTTTGTTTTCTTCTCTTTTATGTCGTACTTTACAATACTTTTCGTTCCCGGAAGATGCCCGGACGGGCCCCGGTTTGGAAATATGACATCAGCATTAGGGTAGACAATATTTTACATACCTTTCCTGTATTACCAGTGTAGTATATGTTCCTGTTCATGTCTGCGATACAGGGCCTTGTGCGGCCGGAGTGGTCGGGTTGAAGATGCCCAGATACTGCCTGTTCGGCGACACTGTCAACACGGCATCACGGATGGAGTCGTACGGAGAAGGTAGATACTTTTGTTGCCTTTACTAAGGCCACACCAAGTAAATTTTGTGGATGACGTCCACGCGCGCATTGATTTTGGCCTCTTCCTGAAAAAAAAAAAAACAAGAAAGTTCGCTTCCTGTAACTATGACCAAAGAGGCACGACAGTGTCGCAAATCGTCAGATTGACGTGAAACGCGTAACGCGAAGTGTCTATTGACAGGACCATCCTGTCAATAACAGAAAATTTTTCACTGTCCACTGTTCCACCTGATTTATTGCAGTTTTGATGATGAATAAAAGACTTCTTGCTTGTTACACTGTGTCACCTCATTCAATGTTTGTCCTAACGTCTCTTAGTATATTTCTAATCTAGGCATCTTGTTTTTTAGGGCCCTTCTTGTTTTTTTTCGCCCTCTCGCATTAGATTTAGGGTCTCCTAAGGACGTCATCCATAAAATTTTCTTGGTGTGGCCTAAGCAACGACATGTCAGAAGGGTATGTTTTGCCGAAACGTCTTTGTTCATGCAGAGGCGCTATGCCCCCTGGAAGGGCATGCGGAGCTGAGTGAGTGAGAGTGAGTCTTTGTTCATTGAATTGATATCATGCATATCGCGTTTTAAAACTATCTATATATAGTTTTAATGGGTTTAATGGGTTAGAATCAATCCTATTCCATAGTATTGGCGCCTGTGTGGTGTAGTGGATATAGCGTCCGACTGTCAAGCAAGGAGACCCAGGTTCAATCCCCAGGGTTGGACCCAGACATGTCCGGACATGCACCCAGACGTTGTGCCCTTGGGAAAGGCACTTTACACATATTTCCCCCTCAGTTAGAGGGATCCTGGGCCCTACTAGGGTTTGGGTTGGCGTTAGGAAGG